TAAATTTTTTCTAGTAAGGGGCGCCTGGGTGGCTCAATCATTTAAGTGTCTGCCTTCGGTTCAGGTCATGATCCAGGGTCTTGGGATCAAGCCCTGCGTTGTTCTCCCTGCTCAACGGGGAGTTGGCTTCTCCCTCTCCCTCTTCCCTTCCCCCCTGCTCATGCTCTCTCTCTCAAGTAAATAAATAAAATCTTTAAAAAAATAATTTTTTTTTCTAATAAATTAGGAGTGCCTGGTTGGCTCAGTCGGAAGACCGTGTAACATCTGATCTCGGGATTGTGAGTTCAAGCCCCACATTGGGTGTAGAGATTATTATTATTATTATTATTTTAAGATTTTATTTATTTGACAGAGAGAGACACAGCGAGAGAGGGAACACAAGCAGGGGGAGTGGGAGAGGGAGAAGCAGGCCTCCCGCAGAGCAGAGAGCCCGATGCGGGGCTCGATCCCAGGACCCCTGGGACCATGACCTGAGCCGAAGGCAGACGCTTAACGACTGAGCCACCCAGGTGCCCCGGGTGTAGAGATTATTAAAAAATAAATCAACCTAAAAATTTTTCTAATAAATGATACAATTTCAGTCTAATGTTCTCTAACTTTTTTCTCCTCCCCTTTTTACATTTGTATACATCAATACATGTAGTCTAGTTACTGCTGATGTCAATGCTGGTGTGATATCCCACTGATGATAATGTCCCATTACATGTTTTCATTCTCCTATTGTTGGACATTGGGTTGCTTCCAAATTTTTATTATTACAAACAATACTGCCATGAGTATTCTTGCTCATGTCTCCTTGAACCCCAAAGAGAACTTTTTCTATATTATATCACTGGAAGTTGAATTGCTGGATCAAAGTTTATTAACATCTTCAACTCCCATCTTTATTATTCAGTTGCTTTTCTAGTAACTCCACCACTTACTACCTGGGGGCTCTTGGGTAAATTATTTTTAAAAATATTTATTTATTGGGCGCCTGGGTGGCTCAGATGGTTAAGCGTCTGCCTTCGGCTCAGGTCATGATCCCAGGGTCCTGGGATCGAGTCCCGCATCGGGCTCCCTGCTAGGCGGGGAGCCTGCTTCTCCCTCTGCCTCTGCGTCTGTCTCTCTCTCTCTCTGACTCTCATGAATAAATAAAAACACTAAAAAATATATTTATTTATTTATTTATTTATTTTAGAGAGTAGGGAGAGGGGCAGAGGGAGAAGGAGAGAGAGAAACTTTAGCAGACTCCACGTTCAGCACTGAGTCTGATGCAGGGCTCGATGACACGACCCTGAGATCATGACCTGAGCCAAAATTCAGAGTTGGATGCTCAACAGACTGAGCCACCCACACGCCCCTCTTGAGTAAATTATTTAACCACTCAGCGCCTCCAGTGCTTTCATGGGCCCTGGCATTTCTGCCTTCGGGGGCCCCTTCATTTCAAAAAATATATTTAAAATTATATTTTATGACTGTTGGTATAAAGATGAACATAAGCTAGGCTGGATTACATTCTTTTTTCTTCTGGTTTCAAAATTAAAATATTTTTCGTGGGCTCATAAAAGTGTCATGAGCCCTAGGCACTGTATGTACCTGCTGTGTGTAATGAGAAAGGTAGCCCTCTGTTTTCTCATTTGTAAAGCAAAAATAATAGTACTTATTTAATACGGTTAAGGATTAGGTGCTATGATGATTAAATGAGCCATTATCTGTAAAGTGTAATGTAGGAACTATATATTAGCTATAATTATTACTGACTTACACTTCCACCAGCAATGAATGGGAGCTCCTGTTGCTTAAAGTCTTTATTAATATTTGATAGTCAGATTTAATCTTTGCCAATCTGATGGGTGTGACATGGTTTTTCATTGAGATTCCTTCTATTAAATGAGATAATTCATGATACTGCATCTAGCACAGAGCTCATCCTCTGTTCTCCTTTCTTGTGGGCTGGGTCTGTTTCATCTCTGCATCCTCAGAAGGCCTCAGTGAATGTTTGGTGAGTGAACGAACAAATTAATGAATGGATGAGTAGCTAAATTAATGGAGATATAGAAGAATTTGGCTATCAGAGCTAGAGACAACTATTTGTGGAGGAGACCATAGTTCAGTGGAGTGACCATAAACTTTCAAGCCAGACAAAACTGGGTTCAGAGCCATCTATCCACTTGCTATGCAACTTTGGGCAAGATGTGCCTTCTCAGTATCCAGCTGTCATGCACAAAGTGGGCAGCACCATGCTGCTTGGGTGGGATTGTATTGAGAGCACCACAGATGGAAAATGCTACAGGTCTAGTGCAATTCCTGGAACTAACTGATGCTCAATAGCTGTGGGTTCCTTGCCTTTCCCCCTGTTTGCCTGAGTCCTTCATGGCCTGGTACTACATTAATTGCATGTAGTACTCTATTGCATGATCTGATGCTAGAAGTCTGGTGCGTGGAGCCACTATAAAATGGCAGAAAGAGTCCCGGGCTTGGAATCAGAAGATGTGGGGTCTACTCTTGCTTCCTTCTGTCCCTCCTGTGAGCACATCACTTCTCCTTGCTGGGCTGGATCCCCTGCTTTTTAAATGAATTGGCTGTTAGGGTTACCATATGACCCAGAAATTCCACTCCTAGGGATGTATCCAAAGAAATGAAAATATTTGTTCACACAAAAATTTGTAAACAAATGCTTATAGCACCACTATTCATAATAGCCAAAGGTGGAAACAACCCAAATGTCCATCAATTCATGACTGAGTAAAAAAAAAAAAAAAAAAAAAAAAGTAATATATATATTACATGGATATATATGGATATATATTATCCATAAGATAGATTATTATTTTTTATTCCACAAAAAGGAATGAAGTGCTGATACATGCTACAACATGAATGAATCTTGAAAACATTATGCTCAGTGAGAGAAGCCAGACACAAAACCCCACATATTTTATTATTCCATTCATACAAGCTATCCAGAACAGGGAAATTTACAGAGACAGAAAGTAGAGGGACGCCTGGGTGGCTCATTCGGTTAAGCATCATCTTTCGGCTCAGGTTATGATCCCAGGGTCCTGGGATTTAGTCCCACATCGGGCTCCTTGCTCAGCAGGGAGCCTGCTTCTCCCTCTGCCTGCCGCTCCCCCTGCTTGTGCTCTCTCTCTCCCTGACAAATAAATAAAGTCTTAAAAAAAAAAGAAAAAGAAAAAGAAAGTAGATTTGTGGTTCCTTAAGGGCCAGAGGATGGGTGGAATGGGGTTGAGGGAATAGGGGAGTGATAGCTAGAGAGTACAAGATTTATTTTTGAAGTGATTAAAATGTTCTAAAATTGTGCTGATGGCTGCACATATCTGCAAATATACTAAAAACCATTGAATCATCAGTTAAATGGGTAAATTATATGGTATGTGAGTTATATCTCAATGAAGCTGCTAAAAAAAAAAAGAATTAGCTGAACATGATCTTTTAGGATCAAACTGTAGATGACATTTAAACATAAGCCTGTAAGGTAGGTATATGGATGTTCACTATGCAATTCTTCCATCTTTTCTCTATGGTTGTAAATTTCCATAATATAACATGGAGTTGAGGGAGCCTCTAGATAATATTTATTGTTTTTTATTTATTTAAGTAATCTCTACACCCAGTGTGGGGCTTGAACTCATGACCTTGAGATCAAGAGTTGCATGGTCTTCCCACTGAGCCAGGCAGGTGCCCCTTGAGCCTGTGGATGATTTTTAAAATCTGATTTTTAGGGGCACCTGTGTGGCTCAGTCAGTTAAGCATCTGCCTTTGGCTCAGGTCATGATCCCAGGGTTCTGGGATCGGGCCCCGCATCGGGCTCCTTGCTCAGTGGGGGGCTTGCTTCTCCCTCTCCGTCTGCCCTGCTTGTGCTCTCTCTCAGATAAATAAAATCCTAATAAATAAATAAAGGTAGAGACCATGGTTATTATTATTTTTTTAAGATTTTATTTATTTATTTACTAGAACGAGAGAGAGAGACAGCGAGAGAGGGAACACCAGCAGGGGGAGTGGGAGAGGGAGAAGCAGGCTCCCCGCAGAGCAGGGAGCCCGATGCGGGCTCGATCCCAGGACCCAGGGATCATGGCCTGAGCAGAAGGCAGACGCTTAACCGACTGAGCCACCCAGGCGCCCCAGAGACCATGGTTATTATCATTTCCCCCTGCATCTCCAGCACCCACACCAGTGTCTGGGATGTGACAGGTATTCAGTAAACATGTATTACATTAATGAGTCAAAACCTAAGTATGTGAATGAATAAGTAGCTGGTAATTATGGTTGCCTGGAGTCCTAAGCCAATAGGAATCCTCAAAGAATAGATCATCCTCACACCTTCCTGTTGCAGGGTCTGCAAACGAAAATAACACCGACAATAATAACTAGTGTTTGCTGAGAGCTCATTGAGTGTGAGAGCAGGGGGCAGATCCAGGTTTTGTGGGGTGCGACTTACACAACAAGGAACACAAAGTCTGAAACACGAAATAAGGTATGCACGTGCACATTTATTATGAGAAAACAAATTCCCACCAATTACAAAACCTAACAGGTGACAATGACCACGCCACCCCCACCCTTACAAGTGGATGTAGTACTTTTAGGAGTTTCCTGCCTGACTCAGCTCCAACACACTCTCCCCCCTATATTATTTGACTGACAGGAGCCGACTGCGAGGGCCCTGCAGGGACCTGCGACCTCGCCTATTTGAAGAGGAAAAAGAAAACCCACTGAGCTTCTGCAAACTGGGCGTCAGGGGGGCAGTGGCCCCACATCCCCGAGTCCTGGCCGAGCTCCCTCCTACTTCTCGGCCTCGTTTTCCCCGGTCTGTGTCCCGGGGGGGAATTTCCCAATTTCCTGGTCTGTGTCCAGCGCTGTGGAAACAACAATGAAACACGAGGCAGGAACCTCCTCCGGTCACCGTGATCTTTCTGGGATCCCGGTTCCTCGGGGGCGGGGCCGAGCGGAAAGCGGACCCTTCCGCTCCCGGCCTCGCGTTTCCGGCCGGAGCCTTTTCCAGGAGGGCCTGCACGGCGCACCGTCTTTCCAGGGTCTCTCCCTGGACGTCGCGGTCCCTCCTTGCCCGCGCTCTCCCGGTGGGCGCCACTTCCGCCCAGCCGGACCAGAGAGGCCGCCCCAGCTCGGCTCGGAGCGGCGCGAGAGGCCGAAGGCCGGGGTTGAGTTACTCCGAGAAAGAGCCGACACCGTGTGAGCGGCGGGGGTGGGGGTGGGAACCATAGAGAGGGTGGCGGCGGATAGAGCAGCCAGGCTGGGAGGGAAACGAGAGGAAGCGGGTGTGTACAGGGCGGCAGGGGAGACCATAGAGAGGCCGGCGGAGGCTGGAAGGGCCGTGGTGGGCGGGGCGAAGGCAGGGGGTGTAGGGAAGGGGCTCGGCCTCCGAAGGCGCCGTAAAGCTGCGACCCGACGGACTCTCGGCTGCAGGGGTGTTGGTGCTTTATCGGTGCCCGCGTGCCCTTGAGCAGTGAACTCCCTCTCTGAGCCTCAGTCTTCTTCCCTGCAAAACGGGAATGGTTTGTTGTGTGTTACCTCGCGGGGTGACTGAATAAAAGCAGGTGTGAAGGCGCCGAGCGGAATAATGCTTTTGCACGGACCCCGGACCGCGCGCGGGCTGCTGCTGGTGGTATTCTCCGGGGTGAATTCCCCTCTGCAGCGCTGAGATTCTCCAGGGCATTGCAGTCTGCCCATGGAGCACGAACAGCGAGAACTTAGGGTTCCCTGTGCATCGCTCTTGCCATCTCGATGTGCACCACCGCTTGCTCGGACCGCATTCTTTCTCATGCTTGCATTTCAGCACCAGGCCCCTCCTCGTCCCTCGGCTTCCACCAGCCCGCCACCACAGGCCTTTCAGAAGCTTTCCTCCAGAAAGCATGCTCTGACTCCTGCCGACCTCCAGGTTCCCCCCAGGCTTCTCGCTTGCTGACCTCAGGCCACTAGTTTCAGAGGAGTCCCAAAGCCCTCACATGGTAGAGTCCCTGCCTAGCTCAAAATCCGCCCAAGACGATGCAGTTTATAGTCCAAGTGCCTGGGGCTAGGACCTGTTGATGTCTCCAGCCAGTGACCCTGCCTGCGGGCTTTATGCGTTGTCACTCTGAAGGACAAGTAGTTTTCCAGGCTTGTTCAGTCCTGGCTGAGTAATAGTGCATGGAATGGATACACCACATAGGATTCATCCACTTCTCAAACACCGGTGGACATCGGGTTTCTCTCCACGTTTTCACTCTTTTTTTTTTTTTTTAAGATTTTATTTATTTATTTGAGAGAGAGAATGAGAGACAGAGAGCACGAGAGGGAGGAGGGTCAGAGGGAGAAGCAGACCCCCCGCTGAGCAGGGAGCCCGATGCGGGACTCGATCCCGGGACTCCAGGATCATGACCTGAGCCGAAGGCAGTCGCTTAACCAACTGAGCCACCCAGGCGCCCCTCCACGTTTTCACTCTTACGAATAATGCTGCTCTGAACATTCATGCCTAAGGTTTTGTATCAACGTGTGTGTTCAGTTTTGTTGAGTATCTACCTGCAAATGGAATTGCTGGGTCACATGGTAAATTTTCATCTGTAACGTTTTGAGGAGACACACCATTTTTTTATTCCCACCAGCAATGTCTGAGGGTTCCAGTTTTCCCTGCATCCTCGTCAAGCTCTGGTGTGTCTTTGGGTTCACCCAACGGCCTTTTCCTTCAGGTCCTGCAGCACCTCCCACTGGACTTGAACTACGCATGACCTCTGGAAGCACCCACCTCATCCATCCAGCTTCTTTTTCTTGCCCTTTGTACCACAGCTGCTTCCTAGATTCTTGGTAAGTGCGTTAAGTTGGGGGATGTAGATGGGGCGGTGTCTGACCATATTCACTATCAGAGACTCAGGTGCTAGGATGAAGACTGTGTGTATGTGCCTGATTTGCACAGACTGAATGGTACGGCTCCCCCCTCCCCACATTCATATGTTGGAACCTAATCCCCAATGTGTTGGTATTAGGAGACGGGGCCTTTGGGAATTGATTAGGCCATGAGGGCGGAGGCTTCATGAATGGGTTTAGTGCTCTTATAAGAGACTCCAGAGACCTCCTCGCCCCTTCCATGTGAGGAGAGAAGGTGCTGTCTGTGAATTTGGACACTGAATCTGCCGGCATCTTGACCATAGCCTTCCCAGCCTCCCAAACTGTGAGAAGTACATTTCTCCCACCCCGGATCTGGTGTTCTATGATGGCAGTCCAGTGGACTGCGAATGCTGTGTAACGTGAGCACGTTGTGCGGCTTTTCCAGACCTTGGTTTCTTCAGCCTGCCAAGCCTCCTCCCTGGCCATCGAGAGAGATCCCTCCACTTAAAAATGGGCCAGATGTTTCAGAACAGAAGCTATTAAAGTGGCCAGTGAACACAGGCAGATGTGCTCAGCATCACTGGGCATCAGGAAGGTATGAAATGAGATACACTTCCCACCCGCCAGGCTGAGAGTAAAGACTTTCAGGATCAAGTGTTGGGGAGGGTGTGAAGCGGCTGGAACCCACGTATACTGCTGACGGTATGCAAATTGCTGCAGCCACTTAGAAGACCATTAATACACACTAAGGCTAAGCGGACACGTACTCCAGGTCCCAGCACTTGCATTCCCAGATGCACACTCATAAGAAGTGTGTCCTTATATCCACCAAATGACATGTATGAGAATACTTCTAGTAGCCTTGTTCGTAATAGACCAAAACGCAAAACAAATGTCCGTCAGCAGTTAGAAAAGAGAAGGAAATTGTGGGATAGCCATACAACAGAACCTACACAGCAATGGGAAAAAACAAACAAATGAACTGTTGAAAACAACAGCATGGCTGACATACGTTGAGTGAAAGAAGTCAGGCGTGAAAAAGTACTTAAAAAAATATAACTATGTTTTTATGAGGTTTAAAAGCAAGCCAAAGTAGTCTTTGGAGTTGAAATCAGAAAACGTGGTTACCGGGCGCCTGGGTGGCTCAGTTGGTTAAGCGACTGCCTTCGGCTCAGGTCATGATCCTGGAGTCCCGGGATCGAGTCCCACGTCGGGCTCCCTGTTCATCAGGGAGTCTGCCTCTCTCTCTGACCCTCCCCCCTCTCGTGCTCTCTCTCTATCTCATTCTCTCTCTCAAATAAATAAAATCTTTAAAAAAAAAAAAAAAGAAAAGAAAACGTGGTTACCCTTCCTCGGGGTTAATGACCGACTGGAAGCATTCGGGGGAGCTCTCTGGGTGACTGGAAGCATTCAGGGGAGCTCTCTGGGTGACCGACTGGAAGCATTCGGGGGAGCTCTCTGGGTGACCGACTGGAAGCATTCGGGGGAGCTCTCTGGGATGCTGTTACATTGCTGTGTATATATGTAAAAACCCACTGGTCTGTTACTTTGTGTAATTTACATCTTATATAAAAAAAACCCCGAAGAATGGTGGCCTCTATACGACAAATGGGGAAACTGAGTCACCAAGGGAGAATGGTGTCACACAACGCTTCTCAGATTCACCTGGAGAGGGGGTCTGAGTGTTCGGAGACTATATTGGAATCCTGTCATTTCTAAGCTGCTTCATTAAAATCTGAAGTTTGCTACAAAATCTTGATGGAATGCTTAATCCTTCCAGACAGTTACCATGGAGTCTGGCTTCAGCCCTCCCGTTTTTCCTTGGCAGTGCGCTCAGCCAGAGTGTATTTGGCCAGCCAGACCGACCACTCTGTTGGAGGATCCACCCGTCTGCCTTGCACTCAGGGGACTCCTTCCCTGAGGCAGCTCTGTTTTCAGCCTTTCTAGTTTCACCCCTTAACTTTCAGGGGCCACAGAACAGTTTCCCTAAAATGAACATAATGGGATGAGAAATTGTCGAGTCCCAGCTCTGGTTGCCATCCTGGCTCTGGCGTCCACCTGTGTGGCCAACATTTCACTGAACCTCTCTGGGCTTCACTTGTCTCCGAAAAACGGTAGGGCTGAGTTTGAGACACTAAAGGACCTTCTCCTTTGAAATCCCTGTCTCCCCTACATAAGATTCTTTAGTGATGCTTTGGGTCTCCTGATGGTCATCTCCACCCCCCCTCCCCCACCCCCCGCCTCTCCCAGGTGCTTAGGTGGGGTGACTGTTCAATATTTTGGTCTTTGTCGCCCCCACGAGGCCCAGGAGAGCTCTTTGCTGCAGCAGGTGTCCAATAAAAATATTTGTCACCTCTGAAGGGAAGGAAGGCACAGACTACTTCGGTCTGGTTTGCTCACTCTTTCATCCCCAGAAGATGCCACGAAGGAGACGCTTAAGTATTTGTTGAAGGAGTGAAGGAATGAGATTCAGCTCAGTGGAACAAAAGGCTCTTGGAACCATTCCTTTGATGGCGTGTGTTTACGCCCAGAAGCCTTTCACGCGAACGGTCCCCCCCTTCCTTTCCGGTCGGAGTGGCTGGCCCCGTTAGGGCTCCCAGGAGATCCAGACCCGCATGGACAGTAGGCCGTGTCCGGAGTGGGGATCCGGAAGCGTCAGGGCTCTGCAGAGAGTCTGGGGAGAGGCTCCGGTGGGCATCCGGGGGGATGGGAGGGAGCGAGGGTCAGACGACCGTCGGGGACACGGACAGGGCAGACACAGGCGCGGCCGTGGGGGACGGAGGGCGGGGGTGGGACGCCGGTCGTCAGAGGGGAGGCACCTCTGAGGGGTGCAGACGCTAGTTTGGAGCGCGGGGAGGCCCAGGAGGGAGGGAGGAGTGCATCCTCCCTGCAGGGCGTTTGGAAGACAAGAGGGAGGCCAGCATCGCAAAGGAAAGCGCGGCGGTCATGCGGATTCCGGGGAGTGTGAGAGGACCGCACTGCACACCAGGAGGAGTGGGTTGATAGATGCTAGAGGCCCGTGTGAACCCTGGGAGCGTGGAGCAGTGGTAAAGTCAGCAAGTCCAGCGTGTGGCACGGGCCATGGAAACCGCCCCTGCCCCTTGTCCAGACTGGGGGGGTGGTGGTTAAGGAGTAGAGAGTGGAGGATGACATGGGTATACTGAGATTGGGGGGGTGCAGGGAGGGCCTTTGGTCACCACAGCTCTCCCTGCTTTCACTTAAGGCAGGTTTTTCTCCTTCAGCTGCTCGTCTGGATTCAAGGATGCCCATGGCTTTGTTTTCATCAGTGGAGGCTTCTCCTATCCCCAGCGAATACCCTTCCCCCGAGTTTGCCCCTCCTCCTCTCTTTGGGCCTTCAGGCTCATTTCCTGCCCTGGGTCAAGGCGGTACCTGCTCAATGCCCAGAGGGACACACCATACACCTACAGACCCACGATGGGAGTGGAGAAGCCTGATGACAGCCTGCAAGACAAGGGAGCTTCGTCCCCCCTGGTTTACAGCTGTCCTAAGTGCCTGCAGGTCTTCCAGAATGCTTTCTGTCTCAAGGCACATGGCCTGTCCCACTTGGATGTCCAGCACGGCATCTTTGAGGCTTGTGCCAAGGCCTTCAGGCAATCCAGCAGTCTTGGCCAGCACTAGCCAACCCCGCGGGCTTCCTGTAGGTGTTGCTCAGCACATCCTGGCGCATTAGGGCAAACTGAGTCTCCTACTGATATGGACACAAAGCTGATGCGTTTAGTGAACAGTGTGCTGGGAACTTTTCCCCAGCTCTCCAATGTGGAGCTTGGCTCTGGCATGTGGACAGGCGGCATCGTTTCTGGGCTGTCGTATCCCAGACTGAACAATCTCCAACCTCAAGGTGCAGTGCAGGCCTATGGGTGGCGGGGAAATCGGGAGGAAGTAATGAAAAAGATGCCCTCACCTCCTAAGGGGCTAATGATCTTTTCCCCTTGAGCCTCCCCCAAGAGGCAGGGACCTTGGGTTTAAACTCTGCATGGGGTGGGATTTATGACTGGGGAGTTCACTCTCTGGCTTCAGTCCTCCCCGTGTAACCCAGGAACGAATTCTCTCCTCCCTGTCAGCACCAGATGGCAATGATTTGCCAAACCTGCTAAGGCATCTAGCTTCCTGCCTTGTTCTTGTTTCTTCCTCTGCATGTTAAAACTGGGAAAGTCGTGGGACGCATCCCGAACCAGGTCAAGTCGGTCACCTGTTCTGTCCTCCCTTGGGCCTCTGTGCTCCAGTGGTCACTTACTTACTGGCTGTGGTGGGGTGCTCTGCACATGTCCTCCTGTGGCTGTAGGAAGCAGCTCAGGTTGATGCAGAGGGAGAGGGGCCGACTCCCACCGGGCCTGTGCGTGCGCCCTCAGCCGGCGTGGGTCTCACATTTGGGATTCTGGCCCCGAGTGTGCGGTCCCTGCAGAAAGCCCTCCGTGCGTTCCAGCAGCCCCAGCCAGCGCTGGCTGACCCCCCCGGGTGGCTGCTGCTGCCGGCCTCTCCGGGAGCTGGCCCAACAGATCCCGCTGGATTCCTCAGGGAGGGGCCTCCTGGCCGGCTGTGGAGTTGGAGGCCAGGGGTTCAGCTGTGCTCTGGATCTGGGGATCAGTTCCCTCCAGGACTGCAGCCCACGGAGGGACTGGCGGCACGGCACCTGGCTCTGGGCCACTGACCGCCTGTCTGGCCTCGGATTCACCACCGGCACTCTGTCTTCCTGCCGTGTGATGTATTCCGTGTCAAGGCCGGGGTTTCCTCTGCTGTCGCAGGGCGGGAATCGTCCGTCCCTCTGGCTTTGCTGTGTGGCCACAGAGAAATGGCCAGCCCCTTCTGATTTTGGTTGCGGTCTGTCCCCTGCGACGCCGGAACCGTTGTTTGGGGGTGTTCCTTTCCCGTCGGGGCGGGTTTCCGGGGCGGCGTCCGGCCACAGTGGTGTCGGGCCGGGCGCGGGGCTGTGCGGGGCGGCCCGTGGAGGTGACCGCACGGCGCTGGGCGCCCTGCGGCGCCCCGAGGTAGGCCTGCCCCGGGCCTTCCTGCCTAGGTCCCCGTCCAGGTCCCGGCCCCTCGGCTGCCCCGCCTGCCCCTGCGCACCCCTGGCGGCCGCGGACCCTTCCCGGTGGCCGGGGTGCACATGCGCAGGGAGGAGGCCCGCGGGCCGGACCCCAGCCGCCCCCCCCACCCCGGCCTGTCCGCAAGAGGAGCCCAGCTTTCCCCCGCTCCCGGGGCTTCGCTGGCCCGCAGTGATCCGGGAGCTCCCAGTGATCCGGGCCCACAAGAGGAGCCCAGCACCCCTCCCCGGGGGGGGGGGGCTTCCCTGGCCCCCAGTGATCTGGGCCTGCAAGAGGAGCCCGGCCCCCCCATCCCTGGGGCTTCGCTGGCCCCCAGTGATCCGGGAGCTCTCAGTGATCCGGCCCCGCAAGAGGAGCCCAGCCGCGCCCCCCCCCCCCCCCCCCCCGGGGCTTTGCTGGCCCCAAGTGATCCAGGAGCTCCCAGTGATCCGGGCCTGCAAGAGGAGCCCGGCCCCCCCATCCCTGGGGCTTCGCTGGCCCCCAGTAATCCGGGAGCTCTCAGTGATCTGGGCCCGCAAGAGGAGCCCAGCCCCCCCCCCCCCCCCCCCCGGGGCTTTGCTGGCCCCAAGTGATCCAGGAGCTCCCAGTGATCCGGGCCTGCAAGAGGAGCCCGGCCCCCCCATCCCTGGGGCTTCACTGGCCCCCAGTGATCCGGGAGCTCCCAGTGATCCGGGCCCGCAAAAGGAGCCCAGCACCCTCCCCCCGGGGGGCTTCGCTTGCCCCCAATGATTCAGGCCTGCAAGAGGAGCCCAGCCCCCCCCCTCCCCGGGACTTCGCTGGCCCCCAGTGATCCGGGAGCTCCCAGTGATCTGGCAGCTCCCAGTGATCCGGCTCCCAATGATCTGGGCCCGCAAGAGGAGCCCAGCACCACCCCCCAGGGGGCTTTGCTGGCCCCCAATAATCCAGGCCCGCAAGAGGAGCCCAGCACCGCCCCCCCCCCCCCCGGGGCTTCGCTGGCCCCAAGTGATCCAGGAGCTCCCAGTGATCTGGGCCCACAAGAGGAGCCCAGCACCCCCCCTGGGGGGGGCTTCCCTGGCCCCCAATGATCCGGGCCCGCAAGAGGAGCCCGGCCCCCCCCATCCCCGGGGCTTCGCTGGCCCCCAGTGATCCAGGAGCTCCCAGTGATCCAGGCCCGCAAGAGGAGCCCAGCACCCCCCTCCCCGGGGGGCTTTACTGTCCCCCAGTGATCTGGGCCCACAAGAGGAGCCCAGCACCCCCCCGGGGGGGGCTTCACTGGCCCCCAGTCATCGGGAGCTCCCAGTGATCCAGGCCCACAAGAGGAGCCCAGCACCCCCCCATCTCAACCCCCCGCTGGCCCCCAGTGATCCTGGTCCGCGAGAGCCGCGCGCTCCCGGGAGCCACGGCATCGCCCACTCGGAGCGCGTGGAGCCTGCAAGCGCTGCAGTGAGGCCGCTATTCATTGGTGCGCTGGCCCAGCTGGGTCCCCCCCCCCCCCCCCGCCGGCTCTGTCCTGGAGTCCGAAGGATGCCCAGCGCCTGACCCAGCACGTGCAGGCTGAAGGGAACTTGCTGGACAGTGGAGAGGCCACGGAGACTCCACAGAATCTGTTTTTGGTACAGATGGCAGAGGCCCTGGTCTTACTTGCTGTGTGACCGGAGCCTCCGTCTCCCTGGTCCGGAAGAAGGAATGGCTTGGGGTTCCCAGCCAACCCTGGTCCGGGGTGAGAGGTGGGAGCTCTTGTTGGATCCCTGGCTGCCCCAGCTGCTTTTCATGGCCCGGGATGGACGGCTGTGCCATTCTGTAACCCCGTTCCCACCTTAAGTGGGATGGAAGGGTACCTGAGTACCGCAGCTGAGCTACAAGTGTGTGGCCCCCCCCTCCCCGGGGCTTTGCTGGCCCCAAGTGATCCAGGAGCTCCCAGTGATCCGGGCCTGCAAGAGGAGCCCGGCCCCCCCATCCCTGGGGCTTCGCTGGCCCCCAGTGATCCGGGAGCTCCCAGTGATCCGGGCCCACAAGAGGAGCCCAGCACCCTCCCCCCGGGGGGCTTCGCTGGTTCCTTCCTTACTTTCCCTAACTCACGGGGCTTCTACGACAGGCTCTAACCAATGTGAGTTTTGATTCTTAAGTTGTTGGGGTGGAGATGAAACCCAAACTTTGTGGGAACGTTTCCTCTGTGGGTGTGAGTTCTTGGTGAGAGCTTTCTGAGGCACACCTCCCTCTGGGAGCCCTCAGGAACTCATTGATGCATCCACTTACCGAAGAGGGTAGGATGGCTGAGCCAAGGCTTGGAGGAGTGAGTGGGAGCAGGAGGTGTGGCATTGTTAGGATCCTGTCCAATGGAGCAGTGAGGGCTTGGGCCACACGAGGGACTCCAAGGGCAGGGGGGGCTTGGAGACTGAGAACCCCTGTGAGGGAGGTTTGGGGAGGCCTGGGATGGGGTGCAGAGAGGAGGGCAGGAAGCCTGGTGAGCGGATTACTAAGACCCAGATTGACCCAGACGCACAGGCTTGGCAATCACTTCGTTCCCCAAAGGGGAGAAGGGCTTGTTGCATGGGAATGCAAGGTCGTGTGGAGTGAACCGTGGGCGTTGAGAGGAGAGTGGTCCAGGACAGTTCCTGACGGAGGCAGGGTTCCGGCTGCAGGCTGTGGAGGGAAGTGAGGATGCTGGAGCGGGGACCCTGGCTTTGATACCGTCCCTGCCCCTTGGGCTGGGGAGCGGATGCGAGCCTCTTGCCCTTCCTGAGGCTCAGTGGAGTGCCTGCCTCACTGGATTACTGAGAGGCTGTGTGAACTGAAGGCTGGGGACGTGAGTAATCGGTCACAGAGGAAGCTGGAGAGATTGCTGAGGGCCACGGGCTGGGAATACCAGACGGCCAGCATGAGCAGAGGCACAGTGATCCAAAATCTGACATGTGGCCAACTGGTCAGGGTGGCTGGGGCAGACGGTGAGAGGCTGGCATGCCAGGCTGAGCCGGGGGAGGATCCTTCAGGAGCTGGTGAGCAGGGCATACAGGAGACACAGAGCCAGCCTGAAAACACAGGAGTCTTTGCACCTAGAGCCGTGTAAGTTCAAGGTCTCGTCAGGGGCTGCGAGGTGCTGTGTGAGGTGAGGGGTGCGGTCTGGCTCTGGGGAGCTGAGGAAGGGGGGCAGGGGAGAATGAGGACATCCAAGGTTCTGGACTTGAGTGAATGTGGGGGCTTCATCATGATCATGTCCCAGGAGAGAAGCAGGGGTTTTTATGGGGGGGGGGGGTAGAGAATGCTTCACTTTTGGATTGGGTAATTGAAAACATTCACTCATTCATTCATTCATTCACTCATTTATTCAACCAAAATTGAATGGAGCCCCTACCCCCCGCCAAGACCTTGGCTAGGTTCTGAGATACAATGTCAACCAAGACAGAACTCTCTGCCTTTGTGGAGTGGGAAAGGCAGACAGGAGAAGAGTAAATTGATAAATAAGCCAGACCACCATGGACTGCCCTATGGGATGTTGAAAGAGAGAGAACAGAATGAGGAGGCAGAGCAGGGTGTCACCTGCTTGACCTCAAACACAGCAAAGCTTCAGTGATGAAATACTGTCCGAGCGGAGATCTGAGTGGTCAGAAAGGGTCCATCCTGCTGAGGGGCTAAAGGCAATACTCCAGAGAGAGGGAAGAGCAAACAGAGGCCCTGGAGGATGGGGGAGGTTGGGGGGCAGCACTGTGCTCGATGGGTTTCTGGGCTTTATTCTAAGTGCAGTGCAGAGGGTTTTAAGTCGGGACATGACATGATTCCGTGGGTTTAAAAAAAAAAAAAATACATCGCTGCAATATCGCCATAAAGAGAAAGTACTGGAGGAGGCAGAGGGTGGGGGTGGGAGGCTGTCCCTGTAAGCAGGGGGCAGATCGTGGTTTGCACAGCGGTTGCCCGGGGCAGGTTGGGGGGAAGTGTGAGGTGGTCACCAGCTCTGGCTGAAGCTGGTGCTGTCCTGAGGAGGTGTGACCCAGGCCAATCACATGATCTCTCCCAGCTTCAGTTACCTCATCCATAAAAGGGATCTTCATGACCCCTACCTCGAAGGTCTGCTCTGAGGATGCAGTACACTTAGCAATGCAGCTCTCATGGATGCAGGTAGTTATATGGTTCTGAAACTCAAGAAAGGGATCTAGGAAGACTCATTGGGTAGTTGTGTGGAACAGAATCTGTGTTGCCCTGGGGGACACTTGGAATGTCTGCTGTCACAAGGGGGCGGTGGGGATGAGAGGGCATCTACAGGCATCTGGACAATACCCTACAATGTAGAGGACAGCCATCCCTCACACCAAAGAATGATCCAGCTCCAAAATATCAGCAGTGCCGGAGCTGAGAAACCCTGGTGTAGACAGATGGTGTAGTTGCCCTGTAAAGGAGGCATGCCCTCTGTTCACCAGTCCCCCTTCTCCCTACTGCCCGGTGAGGACAGTGCTGTCTCGTAGCAACAGAATGTGAGCCACGCTAAAAAAAAAAAAAAAAAAAAAAGGTGAACCAGGTGACATCAATTTTAGTAAGATGCCTTACTTAACCCAGTATATCCAAAGCATTACCATTTCAAAATGTAATCAATATAAAAGTCATTCATGAAAAAGTCGTTACTCTTTTCTTGTAAAACTAAGTCTTCAGAATCTGTGGGGTGTCTTGCATTTACAGCATATCTCAGTTCAGACCAGACACATGTCGAGAACCGAGGGGCCACACGTGGCTGTTCTGGGCAGCACAATTCTAGAGGATCTTTAATTTTAGCCCAATTCCACAGATGTTATGGAGGTTTCTGGAAGGTTTTCGGAAGAATGCTTTCTCAGCTCCAGCTTATTGCCACATCTAGAAATTGTTTTCCAGCCGTGTCTGGGATTTTGAATTTGTGTATTGTCTGGCTTCTTAAATATTGCCCAGTAAAACACTGACATGTAGCATATGGTCCCAACCAGATACAACTCTGAGTCCTTTCTGGTCTGCGGGCCTCCAGGTTGAGGGTGGTGGGAGCTGTCCCAAACCACAGGCAGCCACTAGCCACGTGTGGCCATTTAGATTTACCCTAAGAGGAATAGCATTTAAAATTCAGGTCCTCAGGCCGCAGTAGCCGCACTGGGCTGGTCACCGCAGACAGTTCTTTCTGGTAGCTCAGTGGGATGCAGCTCTGGCCGCCCCCCGCCTCCCCGGGCCTGGGGCTGCGCGCCACAATAGCGCCCTTTCTCTCCCTCCGCTCTGCGCTCCCGCCGCCCCCTCTCCGCCCGGTCCTGGGCGGCGCGCTCCCCGCCACGCCGTTCCCTGCTCTTTGACGGTTCCGGGCGTGGCTGCGAGATGCGCAGCGGGCGCCCCAAGAGCGGCTCCCCGTGTAGCTGCCGCGCCGCTGCGAGTCGCACCTGCAGCCCGGCCTTCAAGCGCCCAGCCACCTGGCGCGGCCCCGCACGAAGCTCCAGGCGCGGCCTGTGGCGGGACCCACTTGCACCGAGCACTGCCTTGGTTTCCCCCTGCGCACCGCGCTCTGTGCCGGGCACCACCGAGACGCGGCCGCCGCGCCTCCTCTGGCCTCAGCTTCCCATCAGCCCGACGCGAAGAGCCACCCTTCCCACCTCCACAGCCAGCAGTGTCTGGCCTTCCGTGGGCCTCGGTCTCCCCGTGTGCCCGACCGACAGAACCATCCCGCTGCCGAGCAGGGGGAGCGCGCGGAGCAGGCGGGACGGTCCAGCCTCAGCTGGACAAACCTGGGTGCGCCCCTTCCCTGAGCAGCATCCGGCAAACACGGACCGCCTAGCCCGTTTATTAATGATGTGTGTCGCGGCGCCCGAACAGTTCCTGTCGGGAGCGGAGGGGAGCGGGAGCGGGGGCAGGGCGCCCTCCGCCCGCACCGCCGGGGCTTAAGGGAAGCGGACCGTGGGAGCGGCCCGCTCCGGGACAGCGGAACCTTCGTTGCGGCGCGAGCGTTTCCGGACGGTGCCCTTTTCCAGCGACGCCGCCGCCCCTCGCGCCCCCGCGCCCGCGCCCCCCGCGCCCGCGTCCCCGGCGCCGCCGGCCCGGAGCTCCCGGAAGTCTCGGTCCCGCCGCCGCCGGCACTCGCGAGGGGAAGCCCGGGCCGCCCGGGACCTCGGCCCGCTCCTCCGGTCCCGAGAGGCCGCCGCATCGGGTACGGGGGCCGGGACGGAGGGAGGAGCCTGGCTCCGGGACGGCGCGAGGCCGGGCCGGGCTGGGGGAGGGGCGGGCGCCGCGGGGGTGGGGTGGGGTGGGGTGGGGGTGGGGCCCGGCGCGGTGGGAGCCGGGCGGGGGACGGGCGGGAGGGAGAGAGGGGCCCTGAGGGTGCAGCGAGAAGGGGGGCGGGGGGACCCCGGGCGCTGGGGTTACAGAAGGAGGCGGCACACAGGAGCTGGCTGGAGGGATGGAGAAACGGAGGTGCCAGATGCACAGAGGGGAGGGGAGGGGGCTCCGGGGTCCCGGGGCGGCTAACGGGGAGCGGGACGAGGCCCCCGAGGGGCACAGACAGAAGAAAGAAGGATGTCGGGGACTTGAGTCTAGGGGCGGGGGAGACGGGGGCGACCCCTGGGGGGCATCTAGGTGGTAGCAGGGCCCCGGTGTGGGGTGCGCGGAAGCAGCAGCTGAGGCGTCCTAGGGCTGTGTGCGTGAAATCCAGACAATGGGTCCGCTAAGCGAGGGGGAGGGTGAGACTTGGAGATGTTAAGTGCAGGGCCGGAATAGGGGAGCCCAGAGTGAAAGCTGGCGTTCTTAGGGCGTACCCAGAAGGGAATCCGAGCGAGGCCACGATGTGTGCAGAGATGGGGAGGCCTCCCAGGGAACGAGGCTGCTGTGCTGGCCCCAGGGGGAGAGGGTGCCACCCGAGCTGGGCCTGGGAAGCCGAGGAAGCGAGCGACCCGTTAGGCACAAGCTGTACAGGGAGGAAACAGACTTGCCGATTGGCAGGCTGTGGGGGATTTGGGGGATAGGGAAGGCGCAGGATAGGGACCTCCGGCCTGGCCTGGGGGCCGAGAGGGAGCCGCGGGAGGAAAGGCAGGCAGGGGGTGTCCTGGGAGCGGCGCCGCCTGGCCTAGAGGCGGCTTCTCTTTTGCAGGAGAGGTGGGTCAGTGGTACAGAGAGCCCAACGAGCAGTGGTAATAGGGACGCTCTCCCCCAGGAAGTCGCGATTTTAATTTCTCCCCCCTCCACTGCTCGCAGCTGACGCCCCAGATGCTGCTGCTGCCGCCTCGGCCACCCCACCCTCGGTCCTCCTCTCCAGAGGCCATGGACCCACCGCCCCCCAAGGCTCCCCCTTTCCCCAAGACGGAAGGCCCTCCCTCCACTCCATCCTCGGCGGCAGGGCCCCGGCCCCCGCGGCTGGGCCGCCACCTGCTCATCGACGCCAACGGGGTGCCCTACACATACACGGTGCAGCTGGAGGAGGAGCCCCGGGGCCCGCCCCAGCGCGAGGCAGCGCCGGGAGAACCCGGGCCGCGCAAGGGCTACAGCTGCCCGGAGTGCGCTCGCGTCTTTGCCAGCCCTCTGCGGCTGCAGAGCCACCGCGTGTCGCACTCGGACCTCAAGCCCTTCACGTGCGGCGCCTGCGGCAAGGCCTTCAAGCGCTCCAGCCACCTGTCGCGGCACCGCGCCACGCACCGCGCGCGCGCAGGCCCGCCGCACACCTGCCCGCTGTGCCCACGCCGCTTCCAGGACGCCGCGGAGCTGGCGCAGCACGTGCGCCTGCACTGAGTTCCAGACCCTCGGGGCCTCGCGAGCCACACAGCGTCACTCCCACACGCGCTCCCAGCCTTACGCGCGGCCTCCGTTTCTCCACCCGCCCAACGGGAGAAACACCAGCCCTTCCTCACCTTCCTTCTAGCTGTGTGCTGTAGACCAAGCCGCTGCCCCTCCCTGGGCCTGGGAGCCAGTCTCGGAGCTGGGTTCGGCCCGGCTGTGCTGCGCGAGCCTGTGCAGGTGACAGCGTCTCCGAGCCTTGGTCTTCTGCTCCGAAGTGGTGAACGGTTGTGTGCGCGGAAGATTTAACAAAAGAGCACGGCGCGGTCTGGCTCATTTCTGTATCTCCCCCTTTCCACCCACAGCCCTCACCCCTTACTCAATAAACATTCCGCACTCCACTTTAGGGCTCTGATTTGCGTGTGTGTGTGTTGGGGTGCGCAGCGGGCTGGGAGGGGGCAGCCAGGACCGCGAGCACCTGGGAACCTTCCTCTCGGCGAGCGTTTCTGGCCGGATCCGTTTCCCGAAGGCCCAGGCGCCCCGCCCCCACCTTCCTCCCGGACCCTCTTCTGCGCGCCCCGGCCCGCTCTTCTGTTACCGGTGCCACCAGCTCCCGGGGGACACCCAGAGGCCTCGTCCCGCCACCACCTGCGAGCACGGGGGTAGCTCGGGGCCGTTCCGGAGTCGCCCGGACCCGAGAGGCTGCTGCACCGGGTACGGGGGCCGGGAGGCGGGAGGGAGCGGGGAGCTGGCCGCGAGAGGGGCGGGGCCGGGAGCGGGTACCTGTGCGCTGGGCGGGGAGGGGCCGCTGTGGGGGCTCGGGAGGGCACCGCCCGGAACTCGCGGGGCCGACGCCCTCGAGAGCGCTAGGACCCAGAAAGAACTTGGGGAGGGTGAGCTGGATGGGCGTGGACGAGCGAGAACCTAGAGGTAGCCGGGCTAGGAGCGGGGCGCAGGGCTGCTCAGGGCGGTTGTTGGATGGCGGGTCGGGACCTGCGGGTCTTAACGTGGCAGCCTGTTGGAGAAGGCTCGGGCAAACATGAAAGGGGTAGACCGGGCTTCTGGGTGGAGTAGTAGGATGGGGCGACACCCAGACCCGGGTCAGGGGCGTGGAGAGCCGAGAGAGAAACCTGCAGGTCTAGGGGGTGGGGCCTGGAGAGGCCCTGCGGGTGGCCAGAGTAGAGGGGCGCCCAGGCACCTGAGGAGGGTGCAAAGAAGGAGGATAGAGCGGGGTCCCGGGTGCGCCTGTGCTTACAGTAGGTGATGGAACGGGGGGCAGGGAGAAGGACCCTAGAAGCTTTACACAAGGCCATAGAGTCCGGGGACGGAGGCTGGGGGATGCACAGGTCGTGGGCAGCGTACACGGAGGGTAAGGAACAGAGCTCATGCAGCCAGCTTCCCTCCTTTACCTAACCTCACCCTCTCTCCCGTCCACCAGGCCTCAGCCAGCCCTCCGGATGCTGGTGCTGCCCTCCGCAGAGGCCATGGAGGCCCCGCCCTCTCGGACAGGCAGGTCTCCAGAACCCGGACCTTCCTCCTCCACAGGACCTCCCCAGACTTCCTCGTCTCCGAGGCCCAACCACTACCTGCTTATTGACACCCAAGGCATCCCATACACCGTGCTGGTGGACCAGGAGTCTCAGAGAGAGCCTGGGGCAGATGGGGCATCAGCTCAGAAAAAGTGCTACAGCTGCCCTGTGTGCTCCCGGGTCTTCGAGTACATGTCCTACCTTCAGCGACACAGCATCACCCACTCGGAGGTGAAGCCCTTCGAGTGTGACACCTGTGGGAAGGCATTCAAGCGGGCCAGCCACCTGGCTCGGCACCACTCCATCCACCGGGCTGGCGGTGGGCGACCCCATGGCTGTCCGCTCTGCCCTCGCCGCTTCCGTGAGGCCGGTGAGCTGGCCCAGCACAGCCGGGTCCACTCGGGAGAGCGCCCATTTCAGTGCCCCCACTGCCCACGCCGATTTATGGAGCAGAACACGCTGCAAAAGCATACTCGGTGGAAGCATCCATGAACCAGGCTGCGGGGTACCCCAGGTACCATGGGGTTCTGGGGGGAGCCTGGACTCCTGTTGCCCTCAGACACCAGGCCAGTGCCGAAGGCTGGGTTGCAGCCCTGGACACAGACACACCTCCTGCAAAGGCCAAGCCCTGCCTGAAGGAGGAGCTCATGAGTAGCCTTCGTGTCTTGGAGATAAGATGGAGACAAGACGTTAACATTCACAGAGTGGAGCCCCTCCAGCTTTCGGCTGAGCCCTGACTGGAGGTGTGGGGGAGAGTGCTATGGGTGGAAATTCTCCAGCCTGAAAAATGGGGTTGGGAGCCATCAAGAATCTGCACCAGCTTCCCGAGGCCTCCATGTTGATGCTGGGGGACGGGGCCCCTGACCTGCCTCCCAGCCCCCAGCCAGGGCCTGAGACTGGACGCCCAATAAACACCTTTCCCATTTTGAGCACTTGAGATTTGTTTTTGGGGACAGCGGCTTGGCCAGCCTGCTGCCCAACAGGGAGATTCAGCAAGTGCCTGGCCCACCTCTTTTTGGGCAGAAGAACAAATCAGCCATTTCTTCTCCCCAGAGAGGGAAAGAGCTTCCCACTGTCTGACCTCAAATAACAGGAACAGCGCCCTGATCTTGAGCTTAGACTATGGCCAGGTGTTGTGCTGAGCGCCTTGCATGGGTCATACCAGTGCAAAATGCTTGGCTTGCCTGGCATGGGATGGGAAGGTTGGCCTTCCGCACTGGGGTCAATCTTAGTGTGGCTCCTCACAAGGTGCATCATCTAGGCAGAGTGTTTTTAAACCCACCCCCGCCCCCCCTTTTTAAAGATAGGATCTATTGTACGATACATTTTATTAGGCAACCCAGTATACGTTACACAAAATATATGTGAAACAAAACTTTAACAATACTGAATCTCTGCCACGTGCAGTCCCCTTTTTCTTCCTCCTGCCAATTCTGTTCTATTATATTGAATTCCCTGCCCATGAACCTGTAGTTTGCAAAACACCGATCTAGGGCAGGTACCTCCCCCTGGACGTTTTTGACCCAGCCTGCAGTTTGTCTGTAATGTGAAGCAGGTAGGAGAGGAGGGTGGCCACAGCTTTCTAAGTGGTGCAGACATTTAAATTCTCCTTCTGCAAGGTTAAAGCCCTACTCTTGTAGGGCTGGCAAAAATCCCACTAGCAACTGGTGACTGAGAGGAGAGGCAGGGAGCTGAGCCGAAAGCTGAATAAACATCTGCCTTCTTAATGAATTTTCCTTGCGCGTTTGTTTTGTGCCAGGCACTGTGCTGGGCCCCATTTCTTCTTCCGACCTCTTTTTGGGTGGAAGAACAAATTAGCCATCTCCACTCCCCAGAGAGGGAAAGAGCCTCCCACTGTCTGACCTCAAATACCACTGCCAGCGCCCTGATCTTGAGCCTAGACTCTGGCCAGACGCTGGGCTGAGCGTTTTGCCTGCACCATATCAGTACATCCTCACAAGGAACCTAAAAGGGACCATAACTCCCCCCACTTTACAGGTGAGTAAACTGAGGCGGGGTTGGGGGAGAAGGAGCGGCCAAGATTGGGTCTGAAGGCTCCCAAGCTAGCTCATAACCGCTACCACAGGAGTGGTGCTGGTGGTGTTCCAGGCCCCTATTTTCAAGGAGGGTAACTCTAACCCCTCCACCCTCCCATGGTCCTAGGAACCGTGCGTGCTGTCTGGTTGTGCTGGTGATGTGCATACTGTGGGAGATGGGAGCGGGTTGCGGGGGTCCGGGGGGCCAGTTCCTAGGGTACCGTTGAAAAAGATTCTCCCTGTGCTTCAACTTCCCTGGCTGTCTCCTTCTCTCTCCCGGGCCCGACTCGGTGTGTCGCCACCCACCCCGGGGACCCCGGAGTCGCCTGCTCTCCAGGAATTGGGAGTTTCTCGACGTTCCCTGCCCGGGCTTCGCGGAGGGAGGGGTAGTACGGCAAGGGGCCGTCGCGCAAGTGCAGCCCGCGCCTCTGCCGCAGACGGCGGGCCTCGACTGGGGCCGGAGGGTCCCGGAGGAGCGCACCGACCGGCGGACCGGGAAGCACCGACGTCCCTGCCCGCTCCCACCGGCCCGCCACCCCGCCCGAGACTCGCCGCCTCTGCCGCCCAGCCCGCCCGCGGCGGGTGGGCGCTTCCCTCCACTCCCCGCGATACTTTGCAGACGCTCCCCGGCGCCGGGCATGGGCGCCGCCGCTGTCGGTCCCCTGGCCGGATTCCGCGCGCGGGTGGGTGAGCGCGGGGCTCTGGCCCCTCCGACCCCGGGAACCTGTGGGCGGGGGGTGGTGGCCGCATCTGCACCCGCGGCCTAGTGCGTCTCCCGCTGGGACCCCTGGCCCACATCGCTCCCCCTCCCACCCGGGGGACAAAGGGCGGGGGCGGGGGCGCATCCCCACGCGTGACCTTCCCCCCGCACTGCGCACGCGCCCCGCCCCCTCCACCACGGGGGAGGGGCCCTGCTCGCCCACACGAGTGCGGGGGAGGGCCTGCGCGTGGGCTGGACCCCCACCCTACGCCTGGAAGTTGGGGCACGGTCCCCTCCCCCCCTGCACCTCTCGCTTCTTTTGGCCCCGAGGTGACCCGTGATGAGGGTCCGCCCTATCCAGGCCAGGATGTCTCGGCTCTGTGCCCCGCGGGGAACCCGCTCCTCCTCCTCTCAGTAGCTCAGGGTCTGGCCCCCAGCCCCGTCGTTTTCTAGGAGCCCAGGAGTTTGAAACCCCAGGTGTCCTCCCTCAGACCCAGGAGTCCCGGCCCTCAGCATCATCCCCCCACCCCCAGTGCTAAAGAGTTGGGTTCCACCTCCCCTGGGGGGGTCCCTCCATCTGTGGCTGCCCTTTCTGTCCAGTGCCCCTGAGGCGCTAAGCTGCCTGGGTCCACTGGAGGCCGCGCCATGAATGACCGAAACAGCCGGAGGAGGACACGTGAGGAAGCTGGGACCCTGCCCCACCCTTGGTCCCACCACCGCCCTGCCCATCCCTGCCCTTTCCTCCCCAGGGCTGCTGTGGTTGGGGGCTGGTCTGAGGTGCCTGGGGCCTTCCCTGGGGTGACCCCTGGCCTCTCCTCTCCAGTGAAGAAAGACGATGAGGCCTTCGAGATCTCCATCCCCTTCGATGAGACGCCCCACCTAGACCCACAGATCTTTTACAGTCTGAGCCCCTCTCGGGGAAACTTCGAGGGTGAGCTGGGGGGAAGGCTCGGAGGGACCCCAGTCAGCTGGGGTGCAGGGCCCTTGAGGCCTGGGGTGTGACCAAGGCTCCCCGGTGTCCCTAGAGCCTCCGGAGGCCGCATCCCCGACCGTGGCCCTGATGAATGGTGTCAGGGCCCAGCTGCACATGGCCCTGGAGAGAAACTCATGGTTGCAGAAGCGCATCGAGGACCTGGAGGAGGAGAGGGACTTCTTGCGGTGTCAGCTAGACAAGTTTATCTCCTCTGCCCGCATAGATGCAGGTGAGGTGCCTGAGGGGCTAGTCCCTCATCTCACTCCTGGGCCCTGACACAGCTCTGGCCCTTCTCCGGGATACGGGACCCTTCTCATCTACTCTCATCCTTTGGTGGCCCAGTGGAGATCTCTCCCTACACCCAAGGCCGTCTCTGGGACCCCAAGCTCGGCTTCCTTCCTGCTTGACTCCTGCCACTGCTGATGGGCAGAATCCTGTGGCCAACCCCTGCCAGAGATAGTCAGGGCTTTCCTTTTCCAAATCTTTACACCCTGTTTTGGAGAGTGCAACTTCTGCTTTCCTCCACATGATGTTCAGCCCCTGGCTGGCTCCTCCCCAGGACCCTGTAATCCCCTGTGATTCAACTGACAGCGTGGGCAGGGGGTGTGTTTTTTCAACATCTGTGTTATTGGGGACCCCTGTGCTCTGGAACTACCTGTGGCTTGGGTTGCTAGGACCTCCCATTGTCTCCCCATGCTGATGGGAACCTACCTAGGATGGTTGGGCCCAGGGTCTTCTGGACTTTCTCAGTGAGAATCCCAACATTGGACCTCCCCCCAGCCCACCTTCTGTCCAGGTGCAGGCAGGCACCTGACTTTCCCAGCCCACTAGACCCAGAGCCTGGGATTTCTCTCAGGGTGAGTCCCCCACCCCAACCAAGGCCTTGCTTGCTTCCTGGATTTTGAGAGTCTACTCTTCTGAAGGTCCCACTGAGTTCCCAGAAGCCCCCTTCTCCACTGGGGGAGCCTATAGTAACAGACTCTCTGAGGTGTCTGGTCCTGTCTTGCTTCTCTCAGCCCTTCCCCCCAGATCTCTTGCCATAAAGCTTAGAAGTCAGAAGAGCATGAACCCATGCCCCACCTGTGATCTCTGCCCCCAAATCCAACCAAGTACACTGTATTCAGCCATCTTGGTGAGAACTACAATGTCTGTACTGCATTTTCTGTTGGTCTCCTTGGGGGCTCCAGCCCTGGTTGAGGCCCCCCTCCTGGGGACCTGTGTGATGTGCATCTGTCCCCATCTTACAGCCAGCCTCTTGCCTCCTTCTCCCTCCTGTTCTGGAAGCTCATGTGTGCGGGTCTCTCTTTCTCTCTGTCTCTCCAGAGGACCACTGCCGGGTGAAGCCTGGGCCCAGGCGGGTTGAGGGGGATGGCCGCGGTGGGGCTGGGGGTGAGGCCTCAGACCCCGAGTCAGCGGCCTCCTCGATCAGCGGAGCATCTGAAGAAGGCAGTACCATGGAGAGGAAGAGGCAGAAGCAGAAGGGAGGTGCTGGCCGGAGGCGCTTTGGGAAGCCCAAGGCCCGGGAGAGGCAGCGGGGTGAGCAAGGCGCACGCAGCGGGTGGGAGCTCAAGGGGTCTGGGCTGGGGACTTGCTGTGACCTTCGAGGAGGCCCTCCCTTCTCCCCTAGCCTGGGTGTCTGTCCCAGCCTCCACCCTCAGCAGCCTTGCCGTCTGGGGTCTCTATCTGAGCCTCAGGCTCCTCCTCAGTAACAAGGGGAGTGGGTGAGGCTCAGCTGGGCTGGGAACTCCCCCTCCTCTCTGGGCCTGCCTTCTCTGATTTTTCCACTTGTTTCACTCTGTGTCCCTGTCTCCCACCACCTCTTGACTCCTCACCTTCCTGTCCTCTGGATTTCCATGTCGTTCTCCTGGCTTCTCCTGTATGGGGCTCCCTGTCTGTCCTCGTCCCGTCTCTGCCTCCCGTGTCCATCTCTGTTCCTCATGTCTCTGTTTCTGCCCCGCCCTGGCCCTGCAGTGAAGGATGCAGACGGCGTCCTCTGCCGCTACAAGAAGATCCTGGGCACCTTCCAGAAGCTGAAGAGCATGTCTCGGGCCTTTGAGCACCACCGAGTAGATCGCAACACGGTGGCGCTGACCACGCCCATCGCGGAGCTGCTCATCGTGGCCCCGGAGAAGCTGGCGGAGGTCGGCGAGTTCGACCCCTCTAAGGAGCGCCTGCTCGAGTACTCGCGCCGCTGCTTCCTGGCCCTGGACGACGAGACCCTCAAGAAGGTGCAGGCCCTCAAGAAGAGCAAGCTGCTGCTTCCCATCACCTACCGCTTCAAGCGGTGATCCTGCCCCACCTGGCCCAGGACGCGCCCGTCGGCCCCCACTTCCTTCCTCCTGTGCCCCTCCTGGCACCGGGCGAGCGTGTGCATGAGTGGTGTGCTCCTCCAGAGGGCCTGGGGTGTTTCTGCGTGTGCCTCTCCTGCTCCTGCAGATCCCCACTCCCACCCCGGGTCCCTTGTATGTAGATCTGCTCCCCTCCTTGCCGCTCACGGTCCTAGCACCCTCCCCTCCTTCTGCATTCCCTGGGGAGGGGCGTCCACATAGCCAGGCTCCCAAGAGCTACCGCCCAGGGGTCGGTTTCTGCCCTTTCCCAAATACTGGCACCCCTCCCACGCGAGCTGCACCGTCCTGCCCTCACCGGCCCTCCCTCCTGGGGACACTGCGAGACTGCGGGGCCAGGCACTGTACATACCCCGTCTCTACCCCAGCCCCGAGACAGGCTGGCCTACTCTGCCAGGAGCTCCCCACCCGCCTTCCGGACGAGAAAGAATTATTCAGAGAATTTAAATTAAAGACAGACGATAAAATTTGGGATAAACTAGGCCCGGCCTCTTCTTGGAGGGGGCGTCCGTTGCCGCGGAGACAGCGAAGGGGCACCGGCGAGCTCCACGGAGCGGGCGGTCAGGCCGGGAGCCGGAGCTTGGGGAGACAGGGTGTAATGAGCACTCCCGGCGGCAGGGGCGGCGGGAGAAGCAGCTGTGCCCCAGGGAGCTCGGAGGGGCAGAGCTCCGGGAGGGAGGTGTTAACGCTGCCCGCGGGGCTAGCTCGACTAGAGGCGGGGCGGCAGGAGACGGGACTCGAGGACCGCGAGCAGAAGCGACCGCCGCGAGGGGGGCGAGACACGTCTGGGCGGAGGCTTCCACGCCCGCCCGCTAGGAGGCGGTACTGCCGGGTTACGGGTCTTCCGGAAGTGCCCTCTACGTCGCCTGCTGCGCCTGCGCTGCGGGAGGGGCGCGAGCGCGCTTACGCGGTTGCTACAGCAACCAGGACACGGCGGATGTGCTTAACGGTCTGCAATTCAGTACCTTTCCCGGAGTAAGGGAAAGTCTCGCGCACGCGTGCTGGGGCCTCTGGAACGCGCTCGCCTCCCGCACGGTGAGAAACCTCGCCTCAGACCGACCTCTACGCAGGCGCAGAAGCCGATCTAGCCCCCCTTTCTCTTCCACTCTACGCAGGCGCACAAAGCCGCGCTGGCAACCTCCGCAGCGGCCGCGCGCACCCTTCACCCCGCTGCCTGCTTTTGTCTCGCGCAACCTTTTTGGGCCCTGCGCGAGATCGGCCCGTCTTTCCCTCCGCTCTCCCCACCCGGAGAGCCAGGTGCAGAGAGCCGGGACCCCGCCCTTTCTCTGTATCCCTTCTCCTGACCAACCTCGTCTCTGTCCTCCCTCCCTTTTCGGTTCCCGAAGCCGGAAGGAGCCGAAGCGCCGACGGAAAAAACCGAAGCTGTCCCCGTGAGTGAGGCCTTCCCGAAGCGGTGGCGGAAGGAGCCGAAGTTCTCGGGCAGGGGAGGAGCGAGTGCACTGTCCGGAAAGAGCCGAAGCTTGGCATCGGGTTTAGTCCTCTGGGTGGTTCCGAGAGCCAGCGCTGGAAACCTTCAGAAAGCGCAGAAGTCCGGGACGGTTAGGATTGTCGGAAGTAGCCGATTGCCTGGATAGGGCCGGCGGCGAAGAGCGGGCAGAATCTGCGGGAGCGGCCAGAGACTGGGGCGGTTTGAATTGTCGGAAGAAGCCGAACCCTTGGGGGGGGGCTGGGCGCAGAGGAACGCGCGGACCTACGGAAACACCCGAACGTTGAAGAGCTAGTTTCCGAAAAGTTACGATTGCTTCGGAAGCCGGTGAAATCCTCGCTTCGGGTGTTTTCGGAAGCAGCCGAAGCCGCCGCTCCCGATTCCTTCTACGGTCGGGAAATAGCGGACGCTGTTTGGAGCCAGGCTCTGGGGGGAGGGGCGCCTCGCGGGCGGGAGGGCGGGGAGAGGGGCGGAGCCGGGGCGGGGCGGGGCGGGCGGCCGGGGCTTGATTAGGTAGGAGGCGGCGGAGCGCCGGCGGCGCCCGGAAGTAGCCGAAGCGAGCGGCGGAAGTAGCCGAAGCGGCCGGAGCGGGCGGGCGGCAAGGCGAGGCCAGAGCTGCACAGGGCCCTTACGCGGCCGCCTCAGCATGTCGGACTTCGACGAGTTCGAGCGGCAGCTCAACGAGAATAAGCAAGGTGAGGGCGCCGGGGGCGCGGGCCGGCGGGCAGGGCGGCTCCTGGCCTCTCTCCGTGTCCCCCGCCATTTTCCCCCTCTCTTCCCCCTCCTTTCAGGGCCGCGCGGCGCCCCCCCACCGCTCCGCGGCGCGCGCCTCGCTCACGTGACCACCCGGCGTGCCGCCGCGCGCGGGAGGGGAGGGGAGGGGGCGGCGGGCGCGGGTCCCGGACGCATGCGCGGCGCGCTCCGTTCTGCGCCCCACGTGGTGCGCGGCGGAGGCGGCGCGGACTCGCGGGCTGGGCGGGCGTTCCCTCGCGGACTCCGCGCCGCTTGCCCTCTTTTCCCTTTCTAACTAATTTGGAAGGAGGGTTTTGTGTACCCGATCCCGTAATGCTTCCTTTCTTTCCCACTGTCCCGGCACTTCCGCTTCCGGCCGGGCCCGCGGCCCGGGTCTCCACGCCCCCTTTGTTCCAAAATGGCGGTTGCGAGCCCCCTTCACGTGGGCGCCGGTCTGGGGGGGCCCCCGGCCCGGGGCGGCGAGCGAGCCGCGGTGCGCCTCGTGGGAGAGGACGCGCGTGCGTCCTTGTGACGCGGGAGTTGGGGCAGCCGACGCCCGCAGCGTGGAGTGCTGGCTGCTCGTCGGGTCCCGGCGTCGGGGCGCGTAGACGCGGCCGAGGCTCGGGGCGGGCGGAGGCCCGTGCCCCCAGGCTGGGGCCGAGGGGCGGGGGGCTGCGGCGATCCGTGTGAGACGGACGGAGAGCGGCCGGCGGGGGCGAGGCCCTCCTCCTGAGCGCCCGTGCGGCCGGGCGGGCCTGGCGTCCAGCAGCGGCGCTGTTGCGTTTGTAGGCTTTCGGTGTCCGTGTGTCCCGCTCGCGGAGTGGCTCTTGTTGTGTCACCGCGTTTGTGGAACTGGGGAGGAGGATCGTAATGATCGAGGAAGCTGAGCGCTTGCCAAGTGCCGGGCGCTTTGCTGCGCCCTTTGCAGTTTTCTGAGGGCATCCTCGCAAGGGCCACGGGAGGCTGAATGCCTTTCTTCCTCTGCAGCGGAGGAGCCGGCTCAGAGTTTCGGCCCTTGTCTGGGTCTCAGCTGGTAAGAGGCAGAGCTGAGATCCCGTGGGGCGACACGTAGAGAACGTGCGTGGCCTGGGCCTTGGCGTACGCTGGGCGCCTCCTAAGCGATACGTGTTTTACGCTGGAATTGCCGTTAGCGTGCTGCCCACTGCCACGTGGAGAGGCGCGTCTTGGTTCAGCTGGCATTCTTGCACGTTCTCACGCGCCTGGGGTGCGTGGGGCCTCTGCTTCGGGGGAGCTTTGGCTGTGTCGGCGTGGTTGCACACCGTTAGCGAAACCCAGCCTGAGTCCGGCTGGTGCGAGGCTGCCAGCTGGGGCCGATTGGGCTCCCCCTCCGGGCGCTTGCAGATGAGTCGTCTGGCTTCTCCCTGGCGCTGGGAGGCCCGGCGCTCAGCCCTGGCCTGAGCTGCTGGGTTGCTGGAGCTGTCCCACAGTGTGGCCGCAGCGTTTTGAGCGACCGAAGTTCGCTTTCTGTTTTTGCCTGGGGTCTGTGTGTGTCGGGAGGCGGGGAGCTCTGCCACGTGTTGGCTGCCTGTGTTCTCTCTGGGGGCCGGCCTCTGAGCTTCAGCCCGTGGCTGGGGCACGTGTGTCCCCAGAGAACTAACTTTCTTGTCTGGTGGCAGGTACCCAGCAGGCAGCACCGCTTCCTCTATGTTGGTCCCTCTGCCCGCTTGTCTGTTTCAGAGCCTGAGCCTCAGGGACGGTTCCTGGGGCTCCCAGCCAGGGGCCCAGAGGCCCAGAGCCCCAGGCCACAGCTGCTCTGTGTCCAGTGCCATGCTTGTCTGCTTGTCACGTTGTCTCAAGTCCCTGACTTAAATTCTGTTTTCTGGGTTGGTAGAGACAGTGATGTTGTTAACTGGTGGTCCTAGGCAGACCCTTGAGTGTTCTGCCTGTCCTAAGTTAAGGAGTGTGCTCAGGTGCCTACCTGTCCTTGCTGACATTACAGGGTTCATCTTCAGGCTTCACTGTATTTTTGTTTTTGCCGTGGGCAAGTTACGTGACCTCCTGTGCCTTAGTTTCCCTCTCTGTTGTTTGAGTGGGTAGAAATGTTTCTTTCTGCGCAGTGAGGACTGAGGGCAAGTGGGGCTACTGAGTACAGATGGGTTTGAGGAGCATTCTCGTGTCTTCTCTGTTTTTTCCCTTTCTGAGGTGCGTGTTTTTCTGTTTTAGGGGTTCTGGAATTGAGATTTATTTATGGGAAGTTCATGGTTAAAGTCTCAGAAAACATGAGATAAAGCAGAACCCATGAGGCTAAAGTCCACTTTAACGCCCTGTCTTTATTGCCTCTTCCTGCTTCTGTCCATAGACATGGGGTAGCGGAGGAGTCGGGGGTGTTTTGAACTAAAGACTGAGGAAATGCACTGTGACATGGTGCTGGTGGTTTGGTCTGCACTTCCTTCCCAGGGCGAGAGGTCTGTTGAGCAGAGGTTTCTGTGGTTTTACGGGCAAGGCTGTGCTCCGTTCCTCGTCGCCACCCCCAAGGCCATAGAGGGGGTTGAGGGAGCCAACTGGGGGCTGGACCCCAGTCACTAGCTTTGAGGGAGTGTGGGCAGGATGGGGTGGTCTGGGCTGCCAGCCTGCGAGGGGTAGTGGGCAGGGCACGCTCCTCCCCTACCTCCTGAGGCAGGGCCAGGTGTCTCCCTGTCTTAGCCCACATTCAGAAAGGGGCACCTCCCTAGAGGAGGACATCTTGCATTCTTCACCTGGTTGGGCAGGGACTGTCGGGTGTCCTGGCTTCCTGAGGATATCAGATCCTGCCTGGCACCTGACCCTGGGGCCTGATGGTGGGGCTGTGGGTACCAGCTGGTTGAGGAGGTCTTTCCTGAGGGGTCGCCAGTTTCCTTCATTCAGGAAAACATCATTGGGTCTCTTGATTCCCCAGCCTCTAGCCCTGCCCCTCTCAGGGACGACCCTGGGGTCAGGCCCCTCAGCCCTCGAGGGGGACCAGGAGCCAGCCTCCTCTGTCTTCTCTGGCTCCCCAGCTCCTCCTGAGCATCCTCAGGTATCTTACACCCCGGGGGCATTTCCAGGTCCTGTCCCCTCAGGTAACCGGCTCCCGTCCCCTTGGTCCCCCAGGGTCCCTGGACTCGCCTGTGGACCCAGGAAGCCTGTTATCTCCCCTCCTCCATTGAGTCCCTTCCCCTTGGGGGTGGCCTCCCTGGGGCTCGGGGCATAGCTACCAGAGTGGGTGGGCTGGGCCGTGTCCTCCCTCAGCTCATTCTCCTTCCCCTCGCCCTGGCTCAGAGCGAGACAAGGAGAACCGGCACCGGAAGCGCAGCCACAGCCGCTCTCGAAGCCGGGACCGCAAGCGCCGGAGCCGGAGTCGGGACCGGCGCAACCGGGACCAGCGGAGCGCCTCCCGGGACAGGCGACGACGAAGGTACCAGGGCTTGGGGACTCCTGGCTGGGCACAGGTGGGAACCGGGTATCGGTGCGCCCAGATCTTGTGTGCTTCTCTCTGTGTATCTGGGGGGCGGGGGGTCTGCTCTTTGTCTGTCTTGAGTTAAGTTTTGTTTGTTTGTTTGTTTGTTTGTTTGTTTACCCTGTTCCTGGAGTTTTCTTCAGTTTCTGGTGGGTTGGTGGGGGCAGTAGGTTGTTTATCTTGGAGTTGAGTCTGGAGTCAGGGCACTCGACTCTCTTTCTTCTTTCGTGAGGCCCATCCTAGTCCCTGTTTCTTAGGGCTGGTTTCTTTTTTTCCCCATTGTCTGTGGTTCTCTATGGGATTGTCTTTTGGGGCCTGTGCTTTGTTTCCTGGGAAGAGGGGGTTTTTGAAGTGGGGCAGCATCTCCTATTCGTGACTGCTTTCTGCTTTTCTAATGCTTCTTCTTTCTGTAGACTGCTCTCTCTGTTTTCTGTCCCCTTAGGTGAGGAAGGGTGGGGTAGGTTGAAGTTCTTCTGCCTCCTTCTATCTCAGTTTCTCCAAGTAGAAAGTGGTCTGTGTGGCCTTTTCTGCCTTCCTCAGTTCCTCTTTCCTGGGTGGGGGGTTTGGGGGGAATGGCAGGGCCGAGGGGGCCTGCCCCCAGCCCTGGGGCTCTGTGCCCTTGGGGAGGTGTGGCGTGTGGGGAAGACAAGGGTCCCCAGTCACCCTTCCCCATACCTTTCCCTCCCACCCCCCAGCAAACCTTTGACCAGAGGCGCTAAAGAGGAGCACGGTGGATTGATGTGAGCTTCTCTTCCTGCCCCTTCCACCCTGATGTCCACTCCCTGTGCCCCCCCCCCCGCCCCCGTGCGCCCTGCCCTGTCCTCGTCCAGCC